GGGGGCTGTGCGGGGCTCGGGGGCCCCTGCCTGCGGGGAGGGCTGCAGGAGGGTGTCTCCTCCTGCCCCGGGGGCTGGAGGTCGCCGCTTGTCCCCGAGCGGCCCCCGGGAGTGCAGGTCCCTGGCGGGGGGGAGGTGTCCCTGCTCTGGGGTGTCCCAGCTGCCCTAGGATGGAGGTCCCCAGCTCCCCACCGGGGAGTCGCCCTTTGCTCCCGGGGGGGATTTGTCTCCTTCTGCCCCAGGGGTCTTCCACGTGCCTGTCCCTAGGGAGTCCCTGCCGGTGCCAGTCACGGATCCTCTGCCTTTGGGAGGCTCCGGGGTGTGCGGGCTCCTGCCTGCCCCTGTCCCCGCTGCCTGCGGGGCTCGGAGCTTTCCACGCTTCCCCAGGGTTCTCTCCCTGCCCCGCGGCGCTTCCACCCTAACCCGGGGGCTGGAGGGCTCTGCCTGTCCCACCGCCCCCGTGTCCTGCTCGACCGCGACTCCTGCCTTCTGCCCCCGGGCTGGGGGTGGCCCCACCCCGGGCTTGGAGGACCCCGAACCCCCCGGGAGGGTCCCTGACAGACACGGGCGGGTTCTGAGCCAGGGCTTCCAGGCGGGGGAACCCACAGCTGTCGCTGCCTATGGGGACCCATTGCCCTTGAAGGAGGGGATGGGGGACATGGGCAGGGTGAGATTTTGGCCTGCCCAGCCGGAGGGAGCACAGACCCTCTACCTTTGAAAGGGGGAGAGGTCCCTGTTAGTCCCCGTGGTTGGGAGTTCCCTTCCTTCCCCGGGATGCTCTACCTGCTCTGGGACTGGGGACCCTGAAGTGTCCCAGCCTCAAGGGTTGGAGGTCCCCAAGTATCGCTGGGAGGTCCCCAGGGGTCCCTGCCGGGGGCTCCTTCTGCCCTTGACCTCGGGAGGGTGTCGGTCCGCAGGTTCCCTCTCGCCCCGAGGGTGCCCCTGGCGCCTTGTCCCCAGGGCTTCCCACATCCCGGGGCTGCTTCCTCTTGCCCCAGGGGTTGGAGGCTCTTCCTGCCCGCCCTGGGGTCCTGCTCTGGGGATCCCCCCCGTGTCCGGTAAGGTACCCCCGTGTGTGTCAGGGACTGAGTGTAACTGTGGAACCCTGCTTGTCCCAAGAGGAGCCCAGGGGTCACCCACTGTCCTTGGTATTGGGGGTGTTCCTCTGCCCTGGGAATCCCTCTGACCCTAGAGGGTTACAGGGTCTTTGTCTATACCTGGGTACCCCTGTCTGCCCCAGATGTGTGTCCCATATCTGCCCTGGGGGTGGGATTGTCCCCAAGTTCTCCCCCCTACCCCCACTGTCCCCACATGCCCAGGAATGGCTGTCCCTGCCTGCATCCAGAGGATCCCAGCTGGGGTGAGAGGGAGGGACAGACAGTGACCCTCTACCCCTGGAAGGGGTGGGGAAGGGGCATCATTGGTGAGGGTCTCTCCTCTGTTCCCAGGGGGTCCTTGTCATGTCCCTGTGCACCCAGGATAGGGATATGTCCTTCCCCCAGGAGTGCAGGATCCAAGTGCCCCTGAGGATTCCCTGCCAGAGCGCTCTTTACGTCTGGAATGGGAACACCTGGCCCCAGGGTGTTGGTGGGTCCCTGTCTGTCTCTGGGCATGAGGGTGCCTGCTTGCCCTAGATTCTGGAGGTTGTGGGAGTCTTAATGTGCCCACCAGGGTGTCTGCACATCCTCCAAGTGCTTGGGGAGTTCCCACAGCCCTCACCTCCTCCCACGGATCCTGGCTATCCAGGCAAAGAGGAGGGGAGAGAGGGGCAGATAGGACCACCTGCCCTGAGGAGGAGAGGTCCCCAGCCGTCCTCGTGGATCCCTGTCTGTGTCTGGGAACACAAAGCCCTTGAAGGGAGAGAATGGCTCCCTGGCCCAGGGGGTGGTGGGCAGAGGTCCCAACAGGGTTCCTTTCTGAGGTGGCTCCTCTGCCCTTCTACCTTGGCCTTGGGGGGTCCCCTGTGGCACTGTGGATGGAGGTGCCTTGTCTGTCCTCAGGGGCCCAGCCTTGAATGCAGGGGCTGTCCCTGGCCTGGGGGATCCCCACCAGCCCTGGGGAGTGGGGTGGGGGCACCTTTGGTCTGGGGGTTTCCTCTGGCCATGTGGGGAAAGAAGGGCTTTTCCTGCCTTGCCCAGGAGGGTGGAGATCTATGTGTATCCCTTGGTAGGAGGCCTCACCTGCCTTGGGGAAAGATGGATTGTCTCCCTCTGTCCCGTTGGTTTGAGGTCCCCATGCTGTCCCTGCACACCCCAAGGTGCTGGGGGTCCCTGCCAGCCCCAGGATCCCAACTGTGGCAGGGTTTGGTGGGGGCTGGGATGAACCTTGCTGTGTTCCCCTCGGAAGAATTGTGTCCCCTCTGCTTTTGGGGATCCTTCCTGCTCCCATGGTGCCCCCATTGGCTGTGGGGGTCTCTGCCTGCCCCAGAGAAATGGGGGTGGAATGTCCCAAGTGCCCTCCCCAGGTGTGTGAGTTAGTGGCTCCTGCTGCCTCTGTGAGGCTGATGAGTGTGGTGGGGATGATGAAGATGGTGAAGATGATGAGGGATGGTAAGGGTGATGAAGACAGTGAGAAGGAGGATGGTAAGGCTGGGGCCGATGAGGAGGACACGGTGTCTGTCCCCACCGCAGGTGTTTCGTGTGGAGGTGCTGTGCAATGGTCGGCGGCACACGGTGACCAAACGCTACAGTGAGTTCCAGGCACTGCACAAGCGGGTAAGAGCTCCCAGCTCTGCAGGGAGGAGACATTCCTGGCCTCATCCTCTGGGGCCTGCCCTGATGGCCCTGCACTCTTCCTTTCAGATCAAGAAGACCTGCAAGGTCCCCGACTTCCCCCCACGCCATGTCCCCAACTGGATGCCCAAAGTGCTGGAGCAGCGCCGGCAGGGCCTGGAGCTCTACCTGCAGGTGAGGAGTGTACGGCAGGTTCAGGGTGGGTTTCCAGGGTGGAGGAGCACGTGGTGGTGGGTTTGGGACAGGTTTTTGTGGTGCTGACCCCCCTGGAGCATCGCAGGGTGTGCTGTACCACAACGAGGAGCTGCCCCAGGATGTCCTGGACTTCCTGAAGGTGCGGCGGTGCCAGCAGAACCCCAAGGCCAGCAGCCCCTCGTGAGTAGATGAGTTCTGCCAGCACCAGGGTTATTGTCCCCCTGCCCTGTGTTAGGTACCCCGAGTACACGGGGTTGGGGATGGTGGGGACAGGCTGAGGGCTGATGTCCCCTCTTCCACAGCAGCACCAGGCTCCTGCCCTCGCAGCGCCCCGTTGTTGGCTTCTGCTTGGATCCCTACGTGCAGCCACACGGCACCGGTAAGAAGCAGGGCCATGGAGCAGATCTCCAAAACCTCCAAAAGGCTCTTCTGGGCCCTACAGAGCTGCCTCTCCTTTAATGGGGCCCAGGAGGGAACAAGATATGACAGCACCCCCATTTCCTTGCAGACCTGCTCCCCAGCACCATCCTCAGTGGGGTCCTGCAGGGCCTCTACCCACCCCTGAGCTGTGTCCCTGGGCAGGCAGCACCCCGAGCCTCTGGAATGATGAGCTCCCAGACACCCACCCAGCACCCGGGGATGCAGTGGTGAGAAAAGAGTCCTTGAGGTGTAACTCATTCTTCCTTGCTGGGCTGGGGCAGGGAAATAGTGGGAGAACTCAAGAGGATGGGGGAGAAGCCAAAAGGATGTTGGGAACTGCTCTCCCACCACCACACAAAGTGCCTTTGTTGCCAGACCAGGAGCTCTGCCTTCCCCCCTGTTGTTTTGGGCTTGCAGTACAAGCCTTTGGATCCTGAATGGTGCTGGAAAACCTCTCTGCATCCAGGCTTTGGTGCAATAAATCTGGATTTGACTGACTGGCAAAGTGCTGTGCTGTGAAATTCTGCAAAGCAAACTCGGGGCCAACTGTGGCACTGCTCCCAGCTGGGTAAGATGTGGAAGAAGGATGTGGAAGGTTGAGGGGTGCATCTGTGTGAGGGATGCAGAGCGATCTGCACCCCTCTAAAGGCAGGAGAGGAGCTCTTTAAAAAACACATTGGTCACATTTATTGGTGCATGTGCTTCTTACAAAAGTGATGGAAGAGCAGCCTGTGGCCCGTCCCACTGGCTGGGAGGCAGCAGGGAGAGGGGCCAGGCACTGGGACACAGCACGACCCAGTGGCCCCAGGGCAGGGGAAGCGTGGCAGCCTCAGTCCCACAGCCCCTCACAGCCTGGCAGGGCCTGGTCCCGTCACTCTTTGGCGATGGCAAACGGCTTCTCCACCTCGATGGTGCCACAGTCGACGATGGTGACGTCCTTGAGGGGCTTGTCCCGGCTGTCAGTCTTTGTGCTCTCCACCTTCCGCACCACATCCTGGGTGGAGCAGTGTGAGAGTGTGACACACAGGTAGAGCCAGCTTGGCCAAGCCCTGCCGGCTCCTGTTCTCCCCAGAGCCCGTCCCTCTCCCATCTCTCACCATGCCCTCCAGCACTTTGCCGAATACCACGTGCTTCCCGTCCAGCCACGGCGTCTTCACGGTGGTGATGAAGAACTGGGAGCCGTTGGTGTCCTTGCCGGCGTTGGCCATGCTCACCCAGCCCGGCCCGTAATGCTTCAGTTTGAAGTTCTCGTCAGGGAAACGGTCCCCGTAGATGCTTTTTCCTAAAGGTGGGGACAAAAAAGGCTGCAGTGATCTTGTGGAATGTGTCAGGGTGGAGTGATGGTGGTGGGGGAATGAGCAGTTCCAGAGCAGGGACTAGCACTGATGTCACAGGGATACAAGAGACATGGGTTGCTGCAGGGAGCACCCCAGGAGCTGGGCAGGGGTGTCATGCCAAGGGACCAGAGCAGGGGACTCCCAGCACCCCAGTTACCCCAGCACTCAGTTCTTCTCTGAGGCCCTGTCTTTGTGAGCTCAGCTTTGAGGCCCATCTTTGTTTGCACCAAGCTCCAGCTCTGTGCTTGTCCCAGGGACAGCCCTGCAGTGGCTGGAATTGCAGCTGCTGTCTCACTCCAGGACAGTGGCTTGGATCTGCCAAGTTACCTCCAGTGCCATCGCCGCGGGTGAAGTCTCCTCCCTGGATCATGAAGTCCTTGATCACACGGTGGAACTTGCTGCCCTTGAAGCCAAATCCTTTCTGGAGGTGCGTAAGGAGAACATGGAGTGAGGCAAAGGCACAGACCAGAGCTCCATGGCCCCAGGGCACCAAGTAGGACCTGAGCAGGTCCAGGTGAGGCCCAGGGTGCCACGGCCCCCTCACCTCTCCAGTGGCCAAGGCCATGAAGTTCTCCACCGTCTTAGGCACTGTCTTGCCAAACAATCCAATGACAACACGGCCCACATCCTCCTCACCGATCCGCAGGTCGAAGAACACCTTGGTGGGGGTGGCAGAGGAAGGTTGGGAGAGGAGAGCCAGACTCACCTTGTTGGGCCAATACAGCCCCCCAAAGTCCAACTCACCAACTCCACCCAGGCTCAAAAGCGCACTGGCTGAGGTTGGTTGGTGCCCCCCTCCCCTGGCAGCCTCACCACTCACCCCAGCTGGATCCCCACCCACCCCAGGCCTTCGGCCCGGCCTTCAGCCCCAGGAGCTGGGCCAAGCTGTCCCCAG